ACGTTATAAGGTGCCAGTTCGGAGCCAAGGGCGGTAGACCACTGCTGCAGGAAGGCTTTGCTGCCGCTGTACGTTGCGAGGAGGGGCGTAGGGAACAGACCGCCAAAGGAGCCCATAGTAACTATCAACCCGCGTTTCCTCTGCACCATACCGGCAGCCACAAGCTGCGTCACTCTCAATGTAGCCATGCAATTGATAGTGATGATAGAATTCACTTCCGACTGCTCCGTCTGGGTGAAGGGTACTGGTATAGAGTGGCTGGCACCAACATTGTTGATCAAGATAGCAATGTCCAAGCTATCGACGAGTGCCTTGAGCTTAGCATAATCGTCGTCGTTGTTGGCTCCAAAGTCCATGGCCAGGATTTTGGTGGAGGTGTTGTATTTGGACTTGATCTCTGCTGCCAAAGCATCGAGCTTACTGGCGGTGCGGGACACGAGGAGGGTGGAGTAGCCGGCGCGAGATAGCTGAAGGGCAAATTCCTTGCCAATTCCATCCGAAGCTCCCGTGACAAGTGCCCATGTTTTAGAGGGCTGGCCAAACGTGCGGAGCTGAGAGTGCTCATTTAGTCTGATGGAACTGCATTCCAGGGGACAGATAAGTATACCTCTTTGCCAGGAAGGACGAATAGACTGAGCATCAATCGTGCGAACTGTATCAGTCTGGCGAAGACGGTAAGAAAACCGACAACAGTGCACGTGACCAACATATAATATACAATTTTATGGTCGAGAGACTCTGACAATGTAGCAGATTGTTCCATCTTTCCTCTATAGAACCAACCAAGGTTGTCCAACTTGAAAGACATGTTACTGTCGAGTATCGAAGTCAAAGCGGTTCAGACAGGATGGTGAGGGTTCTTGTAGGTGAACAGAACGCTGCTACCTTTTTATTTTGTTCGATAGTCCCGCATTAGCGGCGCGTGGTCGCCAACAAGATTGTCGGCACCGGCGGGAGGTTCCAGGGTTGTACTCCTCCGTAGTTCACCATAAAACACGACTTTTACTTTCAATTCAGCGTGAATACGATTACGAGTAAGGCGACCGTTGGACTTGGGAATCGCGTATCCTATAGGTCTTGCTTACTTGTTTTGAGAAACAGTACAGAGCACCGAGAGTACGTATCCACAGACGCAACTAGAAACCAGCAACCACCCTTTCTGTCAACAGCCTCCAGACCCTATAAAATGTCTTTCCTACCGCAAGGTGAAGGCTGGCTGCCTTCATGGCTTCTCCTAGTCTGATTTCACTTTCCCTGCCAAGCAAATCTTTAAGACTAACGAGGAATTCAGGTCTCCGTTGTGTCTGTTGGCAACACGATTCAAGCTTACACGACCACAAAGAATACGCGCGAGGTCTATCTTCACTCAGGCTCAGAAACCAGTGCCCTCTCTTCAAGGATCTTCGGTACTTGGACCATCGTGTCTGCCATCATCCGCTTCTACACTGCCTACAACATATCCAATCCCCAGCTCTACCAGCTCGCAATGTGGGCCTACGCTATCGCATGGAGTCATTTCATGAGCGAGTGGCTGCTATTCAAGACGGCGGGCTGGGGCAGGGGTTTGGCAGGGCCAATATTCATTTCCACCGGAAGTTTGGTTTGGATGTTCAGCCAGTGGGGCTATTATGTTGTTCAGTAGCAATGGGATCGGCATTGTTTTTTGTTAGAGCAGTGATTCAGAGCAGTGGTGGTACAGCACTAATTCAGTTCATATGGCAAGAAGATCGTTCAAGCGTATGCCTCTTTCAGTGACCCTCTCTGTTGCTCAAGATGCTCATTTAGGCATCGGGTGGTGTCTTCGCTTCCTTATTCAGGCGCTGTAAAATATTTCGGCTATTTGAGCCTATTCCGGTACAGCTCTCCTCCGCAATCTCGAAGCCTTGCCGCAGCTTGCTCAGGTGTAATATCTCTTTGAGGTTCCGCCATCAGCTCGTATCTATCCCAGCCTGTTAGTGTTGAAATGGAACAGAACTACTTTGTTTACTCACCCAACTAGAAATTTTCTCACTGTTGCACTCCTCAGCAATGGCGGGTAGAAATGTATGTGAAAGTGGCTGGCCTCAATCTCGACATCTGTACCCTCCAAGGGTGCTTGATGAATGCCCATGCTGTAAGGAAATTGCGTTTCGAATAGATTGTCGTATCGCCGAGTGACTTCCGCAATCACCTCAGCAAGATCGTTTCTCTCGACGTCGTCAAGATCTACCAGCGCTCTTTTGTGTTGTCTCGCCACAATCATGACTTCAAACGGCCAGATTGCCCACCACGGGCACAGTGCCACAAAACTCTTATTTTCAACTACAACCCGTTCTCGCTTTTCGATTTCCAGCTTCGCATAATCTTCCAGTAGATGCATGCCTCCTTGTTCACGCCGATAATTTTTCAATTGATCAAGCTCAAGCGCAGGCTCTTCGGGTAGCCCTGTTGTCGTCCAGATTTGACCGTGTGGATGCGGGTTTGAGCAGCCCATTGCCGCTCCCTTATTCTCGAATATCTGCATATACCGGTATTGTGCATTTGATGCTGAAAGATTGGTATGTTGATGGTTCGCTGGTGGTCGCGTTGTCGCACTCGCAACCTGAGCCAATGGTGATTTTGGAGAGATATGAGCGGTGTATAGCCGAGTCCAAGTATCGATAACAGGCACTATTTGGGATGGCTGGAGGTCGGCGAGAGTGAGATTATGGTCTGGTGAGAATGTCACAACATAGCATTTCCCAGTGACAGGATCAGCCCGTAGAAGCAGCGACGAGAGGCCTACATTGGTCAGACCTGATCAAAAAGCATACTTTTCTGCCGTCAGCTTACTGCCACTCTCGTCACTTGGCTGATACTCAGCCTGTTCCTCTTTGACGGCACTGTAGTCATTGACGAAGACGAATGTACTCTCATACTTAGGATTGGTATCACCCTGGGCACGTTTGTTGCCCGGACAGAGATAGCATGATGGATCGTATTGTGGTAGGGTCGTCTGACTTGCTGCTTCTTGTTGGCCTCTAAATTTTCAGCTGAAATGAACGGACCATTCACGTCAGATAGGGGCCCTCTTTCATTCACCACTTACTGCCAAGGCCGTTTCGTCCTGTGAGGGGATACTAGAATCCAGCTCCCACGTAGTGGATTGTATCTACGATGCGAGATGTCGTCTAGGATTGCATCTGGCATGGTACCGATGAAATTATGATCAGCAATAAAAACAATTTTTGATAGAGTTGGCCACGTCCTGTTGCAGAATGGACAGCTCCGCCGCCCCGCAAACCGATATTAGCGTCGGATTTAAGAGTAACTGACCGGAAGTCACAACATAGCTGTCACAATCGTGGCGTGCGGTGGTCCGAATCGCCCAAGTATTGTGATAGAAGAGCAGCGAAAAGAAATTTCACGTCCGCAAAGCTTGGTCACTCAATGATTGCCGGATTCGCTCGGTTTCAAAATCTCAATTGTCCCGTTCTTCTAAATTGCTAGTTTGTCAAGGCGACCAAATTAAAGCTCTCTGTGTCAGATCAATAAGAAGATATATATCCGCCTTCTCTTTGGAATTCGAGCCCGGGATTCTCACATAGTCTGGGAACTGAGCTCCATGGCGTCACTCCATGAGATTCGTATTACCGGTGACGATTTAGGCCTCTTCGACCTTCCTAACGAGGTCCGTATCCTACTATTTTCACCTTCCGCGCGCTAACGCTTCAAAGATTTTGATCCATATGTTGGATCTACTCCCCACGCAGTCGCTGCTTCAGACCAGATCCGTCTGCCACCGCTTCCAAAACCTGATCATTCGCATTGTCCATGGGCGGCTGTTGCGCGCAGCAACACTCACTGATCGAAAGCTGATTCTCGAATGCTATCACCCGTCAGCGCAGTACACTGAGCCATACTTATACTGCGATTATCTTGGCACCCCTGGGCTCAGTGATGAGATTGAAGGCCAGGGCCCGATATACGAGGTTGCAGACGATCAAGCAGCCAAGCAAGGTACACTTGGGAGGCTGTATTCCCACTTTCGGCCCACTCGAAAAGATCCAGAACCAAAGATCCACCGTCCGCATCCAGCTGGCGATGTACCAGGCTCTAGAACAAGTGAGGTAGCAAATCGAATCAGAGAACCTTTTGAAAGAAACACTGTGACGCAAAATGTCAGTTTAGAGGCCCATGAGCTTTTCATGCAGCTCCGCTTTCTCGTAGCTGTGGTTCAGACCGGCCCGCGACGGGGCTTTTTCCTCAGCGTTGAAAACATCATAGATAAAACCCAGCGGATATTCAGGAACTGGCTCGCTGAGAAGGCCAAAGCCACAGAAAAGCACATGACAGGCGCCTCCGACAGCGTTGCGAACGAGCTTGGCCGTGAAGCCGATAACATGCTGTGGGTCGATCAAGACAAGAAAGTTGGGTTGAGAGTGCGGGTCGAAGAGAGGAAAGGGCGAAAAGATTCACCAATATTGGTTTACAAAGATGAGGATCAAGCGATCAGCTACTCCCTGGAATTAGAAGGTAAGTCGCCCTGCCTAGCATTCAAAGGGAATGCAGTGTGCAAATCAAGTGCTAATGCTGATTATCTGCAGAATTGATTGTTAGTACCACACATCTAATGCTCGCCGTGGAAAAGCAGTTGCTCGCGACAGGAGGAGAAGGAAACGGCCAGGCCATGGTCTTTGGGAACTTCGCAATACCGAACGCACAGGAGACCCCCGGAGATACGGTTTGATCGAGATTGGGGGAAATATACATATTGCGTAGAGCCCTATTGATAGTAGCATTCACATTCTGAAGAGCCTACGAAATACAGCAACCCGTTATCGGGCAGCCTTCGGGCACGAAGGCCGCGCGTAACACGGAATACTTTGCTGACCAAGTGCTAATTCCTGTGTCCTATCGCTGGAATCCGGATGTACTTGAAGTCAATTCCCTGGAAAGTAGCCACATTTGGACTCGTATGCGCAAAGTGGCAAGCTTGTAAGATATTGATTGGGCGCTGTCGTGGTCTTGGTCAGGTCTTTCTACTCCAAGAGCACACTGCTGGAGACGTTGACTTTTACTTCGTCACCCTCATGCAATCTGTTGATATAGGCCGGACTCTGAATCTTAGAGCTCTCTCTGATGTCTCCCCGTAATGGTGACAAAGTGATCTGGATTTCAGCGATCATAGAGTGCAGTTCTGTAAGACCTAGATCACTTTTGAAATTTTTCATAACATGCCTGAATGATTTCCAAGTCAGAATGTCAAATCTGGGTCGTCCGTTTACTTCTGAGACAAGTCTCGCAACTCACTGTGCAGAGTAAATCTGGAAGAAACAGCTCGGAGAATGTAACTCACCCTTGACCAGTTTTGCGACAACCTGCTTATCGACCGTTTGGTTCTCTAAGGTACCACCAGGTCCCACCATGGATTTCATGACACTTCCCTGATTCACAGTCTTCTCCTCCGATCTCAGTCTGCCAATGACATCCTGTATGGCTCTTATGATATCCTCTTCTCCCATTGAATCATTGTCACCGATGTACGCCTCTAGTACCGCGATCTGCGCAACCTCTCGCTCTTTGAGGTCATCCCGCTTCGCACTTTGGAACTCCTCTACAGCAGCTTCGGAGCTCTTGACGCGTTTTCGTAATATCTTTAGCATTTGGGCATCTGTAGTAACAGGTGTTGATGTCTTGGCAGCATTCGTGATATCTGATATTAGACCTCGAAGGACGTCTAGTCTGTTTCCCTCTGAGCGTAAGTGGTTTCCCCTTAAAGAAGTCAGGCGGATGTGCACCGTTCACCACGCACCGAGAGCTGTCTTTCGCTTTCATGGCAGCCTTCATATCACTTCGGACCTTGACAAGCAATGAAGGAGTTGTAGCGGGACCACTAGTAGTAGTCATTGAGTAGGGACATCGCAATAATAGTCGCGTGAGCCGCACATTACACCGCCAAAGCGACATTCTATGAGCACAAATACAAGTCCGACAGCCGATTCAGCTGGCTTCAAAGGCGCAAATTCTTCAGGAGCAGACTTTGGCGTGGTAAGTTATAGGAGGGGGAGCCCGTACTCTCAGCAATCCATTATTGCTATGAGTGAGCATTGCTGCTTTTGTTCCGGGACGACATCTGGTACCTGACTAACAAAGTTTGACCGAGGTTCCGCCCTTGCTGCTTGTCACTTTCGAGATATGTTTTTGATGCGTGTTGATTGCGGTGAAGAACGCATAAACCAACGCGTTTTACAACATTTCCTTCCTTTATCCTTGTCTTTCTTTCTTACTCTGGTGATTGATGGCACTAGAAAGAAACAACAGATGACGCATCACGCTGGTGAAGAGCTTGCGAACAATTTCTCAAAGCGGGAGCAGCTCCGTACTCGAAAAAGGCCTGAAGCATGTTTGCGATGCCCCAGACACCACAAAGACCTTTACCAGGTGCATATATTCAAACGCCAGCCCATGGCCTCGCCAATAAGGCTGGCCAACTCTATCAGCCGAATCTTCGGCCGAACACCATCACATCACAAAATGCATCCCAAGGTCAAAGCCAGGCGCTCACCCAGCAAAAGCAACAGACCGGACAGGTAGCCGGAACCTCGTCTGCAGAGGATCTTAAGCCAATCGCACGGGCAGCGAGGACCATCAATGAAACCCTCGACCAAGAATCGCGGTACCCTGAGCTCGACAGCTACGTTAGCCGTAAGTAGCCAATTCCCCTTTGCCTCGCATTCGCTCACACCTTCGCAGAAGGACCTTCTTCGGACTATGACATCCTCTCACAGCCAGCATGGGCGCCTTTCCAGAGAGCCAAGAGCTACAGCATACCCGATTCAATCTTAGCACAATGCAACAATGCAAAGATGTCCACCATGATGGGCTTGTTCGCAGATCTGAACCATGCCTGGATTGCAATCGATAACTCGCTCTACCTCTGGGACTACACACATCCGGACCCTGATTTGATCGGCTTTGAAGAGCAGCAGCAACAGATCACAGCAGTGCGCCTTGTGACCCCACGGGCTGGCGTCTTTGTTTCTACAATATCACGAATGCTGGTTGTTGCCACCTCGAGTGAGATCATACTCGTTGGTCTGGCCTCGCAAGATGCACCCGGTGGTGGCAAGTCTGTCAGCCTCTTTTCAACACGATTGTCAATATCCATCAAAGGCCTGACCATCAATCTCATCGAAGGATCAGCGGCCTCTGGAAGGATTTTCTTCTCGGAGAGTACAAGCGATGATGTATACGAGCTCACCTATCAGCAGGAAGAGAAGTGGTTCCAGAATCGTTGCACTAAGATCAACCATACCGGCAAAGGTGTCTCAGCTTTTAACCCTGGGCCAATATTCGGCTTCGGGCAAAAAACGCAACAAGAACGCCTCGTCAATCTGACTGTAGACGATACAAGGAGTCTACTATACACCCTTTCGTCGCGGTCAACAATCAGAGTCTTTCATATGAGACCCAACAATGGGCTTGTACTCATGATTACCAAGACGTTGGCTGCGATACTTAATGATATTGGACACATGCCTAATCTGACAACGGATCTACTTTCTCCAAATATCACGATAACATCGGTCGACACTATCTCGTCCAGAGAGGCTGTGAGGCTGCATTTGATGGCGACCACGTCCACAGGTTGTCGAATCTTTCTGAGTGCCACATCAGGCGGCTCCTATAATACATACAATATATCGGCGATCAAATCTTCAGATGCGCCAACTAGTATGCAGGTACAGCACGTCAAGTTTCCACCAACAGATCCTAAAGGACCGTCACCACGTCAGCAAAATGCAAGACAAATGGTGCCCTATGGCAATAGTCAAGGACCAAATACGAATTCCAGAGCTTTGACTGGAACTCGTCGGGCTGTCAGATATGCACCTGGCTATTTTTTTTGCTTTGTACCGAAGGACGCTCAGGGAACCTCGGATTCCCTATTCATCTCTGCGCCCGATGCTGGGCGAGTTGCGCGTCAGCGTGAAAACACAAGCATGGCCAAATACCCTGAATTTGGCATCTGGCCGGATCTAGGCAGTCGCGCCGAAGATATTGGTCTGGCTTCGGATCCCTTCTCTGCTACTACATCACCAGCTGGCTTTGGCAACGAGCTTGCGGTCCAGTACGACGAGCCTGTGTCCGAAATCGCCATCTTGACCAACACTGGAGTCCATACTTACAGAAGACGGAGACTGGTAGACATGCTTGCATCTGCCCTGCAAGTCGGAGGTGGAGATGAAGGTCTTGATGGGGACATCAAAAAGTTTCTTCGCTTGTATGGTGCTGGTGAAACTGCATCAACTGCATTGGCAGTTGCGTGTGGGCAAGGTTTGTACGTTACCTCTGAGTCTCGGATTGCTCGAGTCACCGATCCAAAAGTGCTGGAGTACGCTCGAAAGGCGTTCATTGAGCACGGCGGAAAACCGCATATCAATGAAAACCAAGTGATGGATCACCCAACACCAGCAATCGATACCGTACGTCCGTCGCCGCGCCATGAAGGCGTAGCGCTATACGTTGCAAGGTTAGTGCGCTCGATCTGGAAGGCTACTATAGTGAAGGAAAGCGTATCACCCATGAGCGGTCTGATGGTGTTTCCCACCATGAGTATGGCTAAAGTACAAAGCATCTCACAAGACCTGATCGCATTGAAAGAATTCTTGGGATCTAATAAGAATCTTATTGAGGGGTTGGCGGGACCTGAAGCACTAGGTCTTGCATCGACCAAACAAGACGAGATTTCACTCCAAGCGGAGCATCGGGCGTTGCATTCTTTGGTCGTGCTGATAGACAACATCATTGAGGGCATTGCCTTTGTACAAGTCTTGTTCGACGAGCAGATTGCGGAGATCATGGCCTCACTCCCAGCCGAGATAAGAAAACAGGTTCAGGATCTGACCTACGAAGGCCTGTTCTCCACTGCCAATGGTAAGGAGCTTGCTAAAGAGTTGGTCAAGGCTATCGTGAACCGCAACATCGCCAATGGTTCGAATGTCGAAACTGTCGCGGAGGCTTTGAGAAGACGATGTGGCAGCTTTTGCAGTGCTGATGATGTTATCATCTTCAAGGCGCAGGAGTTGTTGAAAAGATCATCTGAGACTGGTGGCGAGTCAGAATCAGGACGAAACCTGTTGAATGAGAGCTTGAGACTATTCAAGCAGGTTGCTGGCAGCCTACCCATGGACCGATTACAGTGGGCGGTGGAAAGCTTCATAACGTTGCAATTCTATGCCGGTGCTATCCAGCTAGCTCTTGACGTAGCTCAGGAATCCGATCGGGGAAATCGAGCATTGGCGTGGATCCAGGACGGCCGCCCAGATCAGGTAGGTCTCACTGAACTGAATTGCAGATGCGAAAAGTTGCTCATTAGGAATAGGATCAGCGAGCGGCCGCGTTCGATGCTCGGAAAAGATGCTACAACTTGATCCATCAAGTCACTACCAAGTTCGATGAAGCTTCGACCCAAGGACCGAGCATGATTGACGGTCAATACACCTTAGCTGCCAAGCGCAGAGCAGAAGCCTATGATGTCATCAACACTTCCAATGATGAAGCATTTCAAACAGATCTCTATGATTGGTACCTGTCACAAGAGCGGACGGACCGGTTACTTGATATCCAATCTCCATATATAGTGACTTACCTGGAACGGAAATCATCAGACAACATTGAACACGCTGACTTGCTGTGGAAATACCACAGTCAGAGAGGCCAAAACCACGAAGCAGCTGTCGTTCAGCTGATGCTAGCGAGGAGTGATTTTAGACTCTCGCTGGATCGGCGAATCGAGTATTTGGGCAGAGCAAAAGCCAATGCATCTACTACATCGCCCGGCATTGCTAGACATGCACGCTATCAACTCCTGCGGGATGTCTCTGATTTATTGGACGTGGCTAACATCCAGAGTGACCTGCTTCAACGGCTTAAAGGCGACGAAAGAATCCCTGCTGATCGTCGGCCTGCAGTCATCAATGATCTCGATGGTGCCCTGGTCCCTTTCGATGTGGTAAGAAGCTCTTTGACTCTTTTCCTAATTGAAAACCTTTTGATTAATCATTCGACAGCTGTACAATGGGTATGCGGACCAAGCCGGTTACTTTGACCTTTGTCTCCTGATTTATCAAGCCGCCGACCACCGCAATCCCGCCGACATTAGAGCCACATGGCAGAACCTGCTCGATCGGACACACGAGGATATAATGACACGTGGTACGCCTCAACCATACGAGGTAGTTATCGAGAAAGTCCAGAGTCTTGCGAAGCGCCTGAACCTCTCGGAGACGATGTTCCCCATCGCCGATGTTGTTCCCATACTCGAGAAGTATGCCTTCGAATTTCAGAATGGTGTTGGTCCCAGGACATGGCCCATGGATACCCTAATCGGCGTTGGTGTACCTTTTGAGTCGCTATTTACGGTGTTGGAAGGCATGTTTTACAACGACGAAGCGCCTTTCCAAGGCAGAAACCGGCGCTATATTGCCAATGATATCATGTATGTCGCTGGGCTATGGTTTCAAGACAGTAGCCGGGGAGCGGGAAAGATACTGGGAGAAGAGGGCAATGCTGCTGCGATCACTCAGACGCTGATGATGTTGCAGCAGAGCGGCTTGCTAGACGAGAAAGCTCTGGATGAGTGTCGGGCCCTGAGGGCGAGGATTGAGCATATGTTGAGATGATGCATTAACGTTCTTCTGGTGTTGCTATTGTAGTTGAGGGTTGTAACAAAAGCCTGCGGCGTCTCTTGGGTATTGTCACATCCTCACATCAAAAGAGAAAGGTCGTTTAAAGGTTGATACCAAGAATCTTTGCATCGAGCTGAGGAAAGGCTTCTATAGTCATGTCATACATAGCCTTGGAATTTACGGATTCTCATAGACAATTTAAGGATGTATTGCGGG